AGTAGCCAATTTTGCTCCATTTACAACATCTTTCCCAGAAACAGTTCGGGCCTTGTCAGCACAATTCTCTTCAACTAACTCAACATTACTAGGAACAGTCTGCTCAGTAAGGTTATTTGCCTCAATATTCTCACCAATACTCTTCCCCTCATTCCTAGCTGCATTATTATTTACATCATTCTGTTTTATCTCATGAGCTGGAACTTTTGCCCTTCATACTTGTTCCTTATTCTTTCCAGAGGACAAAATTTCACATAATGACCAAATCTACTACACTAAACACAAAAGACAGGTTTCCAAGGTACAATGACCTTGATTCGAGCTACAGACTCATCACACAATAGAACATCAACAAAGTCTGGGATCCTCGAATCAACAGTAATTTCTAAACAAACTCTAGCATACTCAACTCTCTCCCTAGAAATTGTAATAGAATCCATATGTAAGGGATTACCAATAGCATTGCGATGTAGATGAGTCCCTTCTTCGAAAATAACTACAAATGGACATTGTATAATTGGATTCAGATTGGCATGCGATCCAAATCGAAGTGTAGCTCATTCAAGTTCAACTCCTATTTCTTGAGGAAGATAGGTTTATGCTGGACATGCCAGGGACCATTCTCTAAAACCCAGTCCCTGGCAGAGGAGCTAACAAAAGATAAAATGAAAAGATTCGATCCAACCAAACTCACCTTCACCGGAGCAGCTTTGCCCCACATCAATTCAATTGACTTCTGCAATAAACCAAAATTTGGAGTTGAGCCAATGAATTGCCCAATCAGAGCACATCTCCACTCTATAATTCCCTCATCGAACACATCTCTTGGAGGCTTCACAATGAATGAACCCTCCAGCTCCGTCGGGGGAAAATAATCCAATTCCTACTCGTTCGCGAATACCTTTCTCCAATCCGTAACTGTACCAGCAGACATAGCCCAGCAGAAACCCCCAAAAATCAACCAGCAAAATCGAGAAAGAATCAAACAAATCGAGAAATCGAAGAAGGATGACTCGTCTTCAATCGTTGTTAGTCCTGCTAACATGCACCGAGAGAGAAGAAAAAACGTGTGCAATCCAAAATCGTATTTTTGGTTATTGGATGTAATTTTATTAACCATTTTACATTAAACATTCTCACTTCTTACATTTAGGAAATAATAACAACTCTTTTACTACAGAGATCGCTTGATTCATGTGAACATACTCCTTTAAAATCAATCAAAATACAACACTTAATTAATAAATATCCTTCAGTTAAATAAATTCACTTATCCCTTTTCTCTCTAAATTTTAAAGATTAATGTTTTTCTTCTTCTTCTTCTTTTCATTTTATTTGACAGATGTCAGCATCGATTTTGGTATTGGCCACAAACCGTCTACATTACTCGTTTCTCATTTACTTTCTTATATCACATATTTACTTATCATTTAATTTTTAGTTTCTAATAATTATATCTTTATGACACATTCCTTTGTCTTTATGATACATTTTCGGTCGTTTGACTTTTCTTTCGTTCATCTATTTTAGTATTAGATTTGACATCGCTTTCGACTATTCAAGATGATGCTTATTTTTTATCCTATTAATCTTCCATGTTTTTGATCCTCTGATTAGACTTAGATACGATGTTTACATTCGTATATAGTTTTCTAATGATGCTCGATTTTGATTTGCGGTTGTAGGTGATCTTTCAATAGTTTAATCCCCTGTTATGGTTTGTTTGCTTATACAATCAAATTTGTCCATATCCGTCTTTTGTTCGAGTTTTTTGGATGAGTTTTAACCTTTTTCTTGTATGATGATCTTTCAATGATCTCGAGTGACTTGTCTATTGTGTAAATGATTATAGAAAAATATCCTAATATGTATTTAATTTACGAACTTAATTGTAATTTTAAATATTTTTTAATAAAACTAACTACTATATTTTCATAAAAAAATATCCTACCAATAATTCAATTGATTGTTTAATTGATATATCAACATTTATCTTATTTTAAATTTAAATATTTCGGGGTGGAATTATTTGTTGGGTGGGAGAAGATGTGGCCATCCAAATTTTTGGTAGAATAGCATTTTAAGTCTATGTTAGTTTAATATTAATTATATAAAATATTTATTTTAAAAAAAATTTAAATCTAAATATTTAATAGATCTTCATCTCTTCTAATAGTTAACCTTATCTTTATCACTGTAAGTATTTATTTAAAATAAAAATATTTAGATACTAAATTAGGTAAAGTTATAAACGTATAGGTACTAATTGAGTAAACATTTATGTAAAACCTATCTCACACGGCCACGTGCTTCTTTAATCAGGAAATAAACATTTGAATGGCAAAAAACACAAATATATATTTCTAATGGAAAAGAAATGTTTTAAAAAAAGCGAAGGGATTTATAAAATTATAATATTCAATAATGCACACCATTCATGACTGGATCAAGAAATTTAGAGCTTTATTCAAGTCACCGACCTGGCCCCTCGCCTTTGTATATTTTTGGTCATTGTTATATTGTTTGCTGGCCACTATTATAAATGAACACTCGACTTTGTCATCCACTTACCACCCATTCCACCTTATATTATTCTCGGAACCGAATAAGCTCATCGTTGTTCCATTCTAATGGCATCTTCCCTTCCCCACCAATTTGTTTTACCAAGCAAATCATCATCTAAATCGGCGCCGATTTTGACGTCGCGTCGGGTTGTCTTTCGGCGGATTAGAGTCTCAGTGTCGGAAAAACCATACGTGCCAGCGTCGGCGGTTTCTGATAATGGAGAAGCCAAGCTTCCGGTGAAGAAAATTCCTGGTAATTATGGGGTTCCTTTTGTTGGTCCACTCAAAGATCGACTTGATTATTTTTACAACCAAGGTCGAGACGAGTTTTTCAAATCGAAAATCAAGAAATATCACTCAACGGTGTTCCGAACCAACATGCCACCCGGTCCTTTGATCTCTCAAAACTCAAAGGTTGTCGCTTTACTCGACGGTAAGAGTTTCCCTGTTCTTTTCGATGTCGCCAAGGTTGAAAAGAAGGACCTTTTCACCGGCACTTACATGCCTTCAACTGACCTCACCGGCGGCTATCGAATGCTCTCGTATCTCGATCCTTCCGAGCCCAAACACGCCAAGCTCAAACAACTTCTGTTTATTCTCTTGAAATCTAGGAGAGATCAAGTAATCCCCGAGTTCCAAGCCTCTTACGGTGAGTTATTTGAGACGTTAGAGAAAGAACTCGGCGAGGAAGGCAAAAGCAGTTTTCAGATAGCTAACGACCAAGCCGGTTTCAACTTCTTGTGTCGGGCTTTCTTTGGTACGGACCCAAGGGATACTAAACTAGGAACCGACAGTCCAAGTTTGATTAGTAAATGGGTACTGTTTCAACTCGGTCCGGTTCTTTCTCTTGGTCTCCCAAAATATGTTGAAGAACTCTTAATCCATACTTTCCCTCTCCCGCCGGTTTTGGTTAAAAATGATTACCAGAGACTCTACGATTTCTTCTACGAATCGTCTGGTTTCGTTCAAGATGATGCGGAGAAAATGGGTATTTCACGAGAAGAAGCTTGCCATAATTTGCTGTTCACCACGTGTTTTAATTCATTCGGTGGCATGAAGATCTTCTTCCCCAACATGCTTAAATGGATCAGCAGAGCTGGAGTTAAGCTACACACTGAATTAGCAACGGAGATCAGATCCGCCATCAGGTCCAACGGTGGGAAAGTCACAATGGCCGCCATGGAACAGATGCCATTGATGAAATCCGTCGTGTACGAAGCGTTACGGATCGAACCACCCGTGCCGTTACAATACGGGAAAGCAAAGAAGGATTTCTTGATCTCGAGCCACGACGCCGTGTTCAAAGTGAAAGAAGGGGAGATGTTATTCGGGTTCCAACCATTTGCAACGAAAGACCCGAAGATATTCGAGAGATCGCAGGAGTTCGTCGCCGACAGGTTCATGGGAGACGAGGGAGAGAAACTGTTGAAGCACGTGCTCTGGTCGAATGGACCGGAGACGCAGCAATCCACGTTGGGGAACAAACAGTGCGCGGGCAAGGATTTCGTGGTGCTGATGTCGAGGCTTTTGGTGGTGGAATTGTTTAGACGTTACGATTCTTTCGATATTGAAGTGGGGAAGTCGGCGTTGGGGGCTGCAGTTACAGTCACGTCCTTGAAGAGAGCAAGTTTTTAAGACCGAAAGGAAATTTTATGCTTTTGTCAATTGGTAATTTTGACATGTCATTCATGTAATGTGATATGATAGGATATGACATATTTTTTATAATTAAATTTATTTCCTTATTTGGTTGATGTTTTTCCCAATGGATTTTTATATATCGTGTCCATCACTACTAGTATTTCAATTTGAAATTGTTTTGTTCAACATTCGACTTATACAACATTTTTATTTATTTTTTTCAATAAATTTATAAAAATAACATTTTAATTTTTTTACTATATTATTTTATAACATTTTGATTTCAGACGCTGTTAGTTTAATAATATGATATATTAATAAAAGTATTAATTGTATCTACTGGTGGTAAGGTCTATCACATTCACATAAATCAGTCTTAGAACGAAAAAGATAAAAAAAAACAATTATTAATTTGACTTATGAATTTTAAATAAATTATCTAACAAATTCAATTAAAACCTCACATCATTGATTATCGTTCGTCATCTTCACATAATATTGCTGGTGTTCAAATAATATTATTGGCTGTTGTCACCAGAGCTTTAAATTGTAATTTACTTTTTTATCTTTTGAATGTAAATCTAATGCTCATTTTATAAAAAAAAATATCTTGAATTCTACAAATACAATCTAAAACCATTGACTTGATTTAAATTAAACAACAATAAAAAATTATTATGAATATTTTAAAAAAAAATAAAGGCACTAGAATTACACAATCTATATTTTAATTGTGTTAAGAAGCAGTCTAAAAATAAATTAAATAAATAACTTTTTAAAATAAGAAAATATATAAGTCATCCGAACATTGCCTGAAGCCATATTCATGCCAAACCTGAAAAAATATTAAAGTGATGAAATAATTAAACAATATCATATATAGTTTGGTGGGGCTTTTCAAACTATACCATCGATTTGTCCAATCCATTTTTTAAAGTTTCCTCTTTACCAAATAATCTTAAAACACTTCTTAAAATTTCGAAAGTACTTTTCCTCTCTACTCAAACCCAGAGAGTGTATACTTACTAAGGGCTACAACCTCTTTCCCCTGATGTCGTTATTTCAAGTTGTTGCTGAATGCTGATGAAAGCTGTAGACCGGATATGCCCCATTGGCAGCCGCTGCAGCAGCATACATGCCCGGGTCATGGGGCGGTGGCAAACCGTATCCATAACCATCATAGACTTGCCCTCCATAATAAGCTCCACCCCACTGGTTACCATAATCGGCTTTAAACTGCATTGTACAATATCATAGATTAAATATGATTTATCAAATAATGAACAGGAAGATTATATCTAAAGGTATGTTCGTTTAAGAAAATGTCGTCCGAGAAACCCTACTTTCCAGTCACAGCGTTAATGAATGATTTAAGGGAGAGTAAAAGTACTACAGATACAACAAGAGACCTGCTTATTTGCCGGATTGCGACCCCAGGAAAGTCGCACCGTTTGCTTGCCAATTACCATCCCGTTCAACTTTTGCAATGCCTCCTCAGCATTATTTCTGTTGAGTAACAAGTTTTATCTTAAAAATAGCAGCGTATTGTACGCAAAGGCTGAAATAGAGCCATATAGATTTTACCTGTTGGCAAATTGTACAAACCCACATCCTTTTCCAAGAGGTATTTTAACAGAGACTATTTCACCATACTGAGAGAAAGGTTGCCGGAGATCTTCCTCAGAAGCACTTGGGTCAAGCCCTCCAACAAATATCTAAAACAAATTTAATTAGCAAATGGTGATTCTCCTAGAAGTTAAAGCTGTAATAAGAGCTGAAAACTTACGGTCATGTTTGAAGAATCTCCATCAGATTGAGTTGAAGCACCATTTGATGCATAGCCACCTTCCAAGAACAGGGAAAGGAATGGCGTCAAGTAAAATCCTAAAAAGCTTTAAAGTTTAAATCGTGACAAGTAGTTTTTCCTGGAGAGTTCAAAACATGGACTGTACAAGAATCAATTCTGCCTATAAAACCAGGATAATATATTTGGCAAAGATCTCAGGATTGACATTCCTTTAACAATGCTAATCATGCAATGCTTCATTTACAAAAGCCGATGTTATGACAATAAACAATACAGAAAACTAGAATTTTATTTGCAGGTTGTATCAAAGGGGAAAGCTGGGGGAAGAGTGAAGTTAACTATTGCATGTAGAACTGCAGAGGACCCTCAAAGAAGAAAAATAAATCATTTGGATTCAAAAGTATAAGTGAAGAAGTGTAGAGAATTAGCACTTTCGCCATAAACACGAATCCTCATAAAATTTTAAGAAATTAGAGGTACCAATGCTTCTAAGCTTCAGTAAATGCAAGTTGAATGATCAAATACCTTGAGAAGAATACTGTTGCTGATACCCAGAGGATTTCTTCGGAGTAGCAGCACCAATGCGCATAGGCCTGCTTGAACAATATACTCCGTTCATTTCACTCATGGCTTGTGACCTCTCAGTATCATCCCCAAACCTTACAAAACCATAACCTTTTGATCGACCAGTATTAGCATCAATTACAACTTTTGCAGCTTTAACAGAAGGATATTTGTTAGCAAAAGTTTCATGCAATAGGCTATCAGTAACATCAGCAGCTAAATCTCCTACAAAGATGGAAAGCTCAGGGCCATTTTCTGAGCGTTTCTCTCCCGTACTAAAAGTTGCCCAGTTCAGACGGAAAGGTTGGTCCGTATTAGGCATCAAAATGCCACTATAATCTTGAAGAACCTTCTCTGCTGTTGCATGTGAAAAAAATTCCACAAATCCATAGCCTTCTGATTGTCCAGTCTGCTTATTGCGAATGACCTTAATCGATGCAATCTGCTCAAACAAATTCCAAATTGTCAACAGAAGTTAGGCAAGCAACTCAAAATTTACTCAATTTTCTATTTTTGTTTAAGATTCTTTCTTAAGTACATGTCATACTCGGAATGAATTTATGCAGAGTCGGTATCGCTATGTGTGAACCTTACATTGTAGCTTGAATTTAACTTTCTGTCTAACCTCAACGTTTATACAAATCCAGAATCATGTAAAAACAATATTTCCATACACAAATTTTTGGTAACAGTAATCGTTAATGTTACTAATTAAAGAAATATGTCCATACACTAAATTATGATTAGCATCTTGATTGTCAATGGAGATGCATTTAATCTGAAAATGTTTCCATAAATTGTACGAACAAGTGACCATATAGCATCCCCACATGAATAAAGAAGATTCAAAGCACATTAATGAATAATCCGTACTAACGATATCAATAACAGAAAGTGTCAATAACAGCAGAAAATGACAATGTAACAGCTTTGAAAACAGGGGAATTTTAGTTAAATATGAATCATAGGAAATTAACCAATTAAAAATAAAGCATCTAAACTATTTACGAAATTTTGTACAACCTCGCCGGTAGAAGCGAAGCAGATATGAAGATAGTTCTCGTCCATAAAATGATGTAAATCACCAACCCAGACGGTTTTGTTCTCACCGCCACCGCCGGATCCTTGCTGCGCGTTGCCATGGCGGTGGTGATAACGCATGTAGTGCTGGGGTGGAAGTGGCGGCGGTTGCATCATTTGATACTGCATCAACATAGCTGCGGCCGGATACTGCATTGCCACACACTGCGGCTGTGATGGCGGCGGTTGTTGGGACTGTTGTTGCTTCTGTTCCTGCGACGGTTGCGAATCCGAATCACCGTTCTGCTGCATCCTTATCTTATATTACTAATAACTGCTATAACTTAATTATTTCTCTCAAAAAAATATAAAAAATTAAAAAGATTTGATTATTTATTAGAATTGAATCCGAGTTACACTTCTTTCTCAAAAGAAAGAAAGAAAAGGTTGAATCTTGAATCCGAGTATTTTCAGAGAAGAGAGGAAAGCGCGGCTAGGGTGTAAACAGAGGATTTAATCAAAGGCAGTAGTAGTTTTAACCGTTAGATAAGATTGGCAATGGGTTGATCTCAACCGTTAATTTTAACGAAACGACGCGAAATCGGTTTCAATCCACTCTCTCACCTCAATCCGCCGCCAGCCGGCCAGCGACATGCATAATTTATAAAATCTTTTAAAAGTAAATAAATATTGTTCTGGGTAAAACATTAATTGACCCCTAAATAATTCTTTTTTTTGAATGAAGTCCCTCTTGGCCTCTAATATCCATATACAACATTATCTTTTACATTACATCTGATTGAATGGTGCAATTTCATGTGAGTAGTATTTATAATAAAACTAAATCACTGAAATAACTTGTAAAATGAGACAAAGATGCATTTTACGGCGCACTTATTAATACTTTCTAATCCTATTTATCAACTATGATAATTACATAAACTTCATCATTGGATGGATAGCCGAAAAGTCTACAAATTATTAGATAAGCCATTATTTCAAACAGTGGATATTATATTATAGGATACTAATTCTTAAAATGAGCAAATAATTATAATATGATAAAAATCTAGTTTTTATGATTACGGGTGGGTCCCTTAGGGTGACCACCACCGGGACTGTGACCGGGTGTTGTGGGGCGGAAAGCGTTGGTAATATTGGCATTGTTGGCGATATTGGCACCAGCGGATCCATGGGTGTTTAAGTTGTTCAGTTTGTGATCATCAGCTTTCAAAACCCGGGTTCCCTCGGAGACTGTGATTCCATAAGCAAACAAGAGCAGAACGAGAAGGAAAGCAGCGGGAATAAGGTTTGTTTTGGCCATTTGAAGGAGATGAGATGGGTTTGAGGTTATGTTTTGGGTGGAAATTTATAGGGCTTGGAAGCCGACATGTTGGCTGGCAAACTCAGTGTTGTTGGTTTGAATGGGCATGTTGAGTCTTTTTTTGGTTGAAATATATCTGTGTTGTTTTATGCATGAAGATCCCATGCAATATCTCAATTGCTGCTCCCCGTTCTTTCCATATATTTGAATTGTTAGAGATGACATGTCTGATTCCGTTGAAACTTGCACGCATTTGATTTATCTTATTGCTCATCAAGTTATTATCGTTTTTCATTTTCATCATCAAAGTTTTTAAACAAAATCATTGTTATTATTATTATTATTATATTTAAAAAACTGAAAAAGCTTAAAATCTCAAATTTCAAACTCTTTTTTCTCATACTTACACAACATTAAAAAAAAGGGAAATTGAAGTGCTAGAAAAATAATAAAAGATTAGAAAAGGATAAAATTAAAGAAGGATTAACATGTGATACTTTGTGGACAAATGTTAACATGCCAATCTAACAAAAGGGTGGGGGTGGAGGCTGAAACTATTTTGAGATAAGAAAAATAAGAATCAAGGGTTTTAAAAGAATGTTTGATTCATGTTCAAGGGTTCAAAATGAATAATTTGGAGTTTAATGGTGGTCGATGATGATTTTTGTTGGTATATGAGTTTACAAAAGAAAGAAAAATGAAAAATACAATAATGGAAAAAAAGATAGAATATTTAAACATTGAGGGTTAAATGTATCAAATTATTTTAAATCAAGAATGAATTAATAAAATGTATACGTTTTTAGAAATAACATAAGCTACATCACCATTTTCGTTAAGGTTTAACATAAATTTAATGTTCAATGATCATGCTATAAAAATGTAATGTTAGTGTGGGTTTTGTCAAAAACTATTGATGATTAAAATAAAAAAGAAGGATAATAATTTAGTGACCAATAGAGTAATTTACCCAAAATCAAAGTAGTAAAATAGTAAATAATTTTGAAGCCTTTTTCCTTGAATCCGCCTTCAAATTAACCCTGCTGAAATTTGTTGGTTGCATCGATCGTGTTTCACGTGCTAGACTTAAGTACTAAGCACATTACTCTTTTTTTTTCTTAAGACAAATCGAGTTAAAAAGCTGACGGTAATGTAATGTTAGGGGAAATGAAAGATAAAAGTTGTGGCTTCATAAGTTTCAGTGTATTAATTACTTGCAAGTTACAATCTCTTTTCTGGATGACGGAAGAATGATGATAAGAAAAGATTAACAAGTAATTACAAGAACATAAAGTGGAAAATCCATGTGTCTTCCAAATTCCCTTGTCTGTGATGAATTTTTGGCCTTTCCTATCGGGATCAACTGAGAGACAGGAGGACCCCTCTTCTGAGTTGCCTGTTGGATTTGATTCAATCTATAGTGTACGCCAAGATCCTCATACCAAAAGTAAAACAAAAATCTTGTTTTCTTGTTACTCAACTTGTAATTAAGCTATTGATCCTGTAAAAAAAAATAGAGATTAATTAGTCGCTTACAAAATATACGAACCTTAATTTCAATGAAAAACGTGACTTATTTTCCCTAAATGATCCGGATTCAAGCAATATGATGTACAAAATATACCACATAAAATGCTAAAGAAAAATATATATATCCTATACTGCACTAATTTGACAAAGCTCTAATGTCTTGATCTTACAGCAAGTGTCCAAAGAGGAAACTCTCATATTTCAAAATAGTACATAAAAGTGGCCCATTTTTAATCAAATCCACTAGGATAAATTCACAATTCCATGCATGTTACATTAAAAACCAAACAACAAAGAACAGGAAACATTGCCACTGTCAAACTTGCCGGTATATTTTCACACATCTTCAGTGGAGACAGCAGTCACCACCATTTTCATGGCTTTCAACAAAGGTTGCTTCCTTTCCCAAGTGTCTGTGTCCCCCAGGTAACAGTGTCACCACTAGAGGACATTGATGTTCTTGAACGCATGGAAGTGGTAGCAATATTCCATTTGTAGACATGTCACAACAATCCCGACAACTAGGTCTATGCATTGCCTCATGAACAGCAAGAAGGCCCAACATATTGGCAGAAATAATGGGGAGTTTGGTTTATTTCCAGGACAAATTTGATGTCACATTCCAATATCAATGGCATGCGGTGCAAGGGAGAAAAATAAAGGGTGGGGTGGGGGTGAAGATGAATGGAAAAGATTATAGGCTTACAAATATACAGAGCATTGATTTGAAACCAATTCCCGTTTATAAGATTATCAAACGAACTATCTGCCCCAAAAATTTGAACGACTTTGCTGCTTCTTTCAGGCATTTGTTTCGATTGTCACGAGACCAATGCTGCACAGTATAAGCCATAAATAAGTATGGAGAAAAACCTAGAAAAAGTAATCAGATTATTTGTCTGGTACATAGCAATCTCAATCATCAACCTCGCCAAGCATGTTGAGCTTCTCGCGGACACCTTTCAATGATTCTTCCACATCACCCTCCCATTTATAGAACTCCAGCTCCATCCCTTCAAGTAGCTGCTCAGAAACCTAAAGACAACAAACAATTAAAAAAAAGATGATTGGTTTGGTCTCACAAAATCTATATTTGGCCAAAAGAAAAGATTTTAGGATCTTGCATGTTCATTAAGGGAAATTCTTGTCTTCACTTTGTAGAGAGAGCTGTTAGTTACTGCGCAAAATTCTCTTTCAGACCAGTGTTTCTTGAATAACACAAATAGAGCACATGCAAGAACTCTTCCAAGGTCCTAAATATCAAATAAAAACATTATAAAATTTTATAGGCTCAAATTTAGAAATAATTCTATAGGCTCAAATTTAGAAATAATTCAACGCTCCCACTTCAAGCAATGAAATGGGAACTAGAAACAGAAAACATTATGAGCGTGCTACTTAGACTTGGGTGCAAGTGTCAGATACATGTAATTGTCCGACATGAGTACGTACAATTTTCCCCCCAAGTTTTTCCGTATATATCCAGAGTCCTCGAAGGATCATATCTTCATACTCATAACTAAAAATGTGTCCAAGGCAGGTGTTTGTTAAGATAACAAATGATCAGTTAATTTGTTAGTAGGTGGTTAGTAGACTGTTAGAGAATTAGTTAGAAGCAGTTACTTTTCAGCTCTTGTATTGTAGCTTGTACATTGTATTATATATTGCAGGTCAGCTAAGCAATAAACAATACGAGGCATTATTTTAATATGGTATCAGTTACCAGGCTTCTTCCAGTTGGGTTACTCTACTTGGCCCATTTCTAAACCAAGTAAGTGCGGTTCAGCTTCCTTCCACTGTTGTTCTCTTCTCCCTCGTCTTTCCCCAAAATCAGTCTCCTAGGGATCTCGTTTCTCCTTCTCCATTGCTATGCCTCCACTGAACGAATCATCTATTGTTGATTTCAATCATCCTCTCTTCTTGCATCCATCAGACACTCCAGGTACTCTGCTAATCTCTCATCAGCTCGTGGGATTAGAGAACTACAATGTCTGGAGCAGATCGATGCGCATCGCGCTGTTGGCGAAAAATAAGCTCGGCTTCGTTGATGGTGCTTGCCAGAAGGAGAACTATGATCTTGATTTACATCCTCAGTGGGAGAGGTGTAATGCCATTGTATTATCCTGGATTCTCAACGCCATGAGTAGGGAGCTCTCGGCTGGCATAGTTTTCGCCTCAAATGCGGCGTTGTTTGGAGTGACCTGAAGGAACGTTTTGACAAAGTGCACGGTTCCAGGATTTTCTTCCTCCATCACGAAATAGCTACAATTTCTCAAGGTGAATTGAGTGTTTCGACTTACTTCACTAGATTGAAGATATTGTGGGATGAATATGCTACGCTTGTGTCGATTCCATCATGTGAATGTGCAAGCTCGCAGCAATACTCTAGGTACATTGCTCACAGCAACTCCTTCAGTTTCTGATGGGCTTAAATGAGACCTACTCGTCGGTTCGAAGTCAAATTCTGCTGATGCAGCCCCTTCTTCGGTGAACCAGGCGTACTCCATGGTTGCTCAAGAGGAGTCTCAGCGAGTTCAGCTCTCTGCTGCGCCTTCAAATCTGGATTCGTCAGTGTTCTACTCCAAAAGCTCTGGGACTCCTGATCGTCGTCGGTTTCAAGGCATTTGTGACTATTGCAAGATTAAAGGTCACAAACGAGATAATTGTTATCGTCTTATAGGGTGTCCTCCCGATTTCAAGTTCTCTAAACGCAAGAACGCACAGGCTGCAGTTGTTGTCTCTGACCCTGTTGCTGCATACGCTCCTGCTGGTGCCTATGCCAAGTCGTATTCATCGGTCCCCTTGGCACCGACCTTTACTCAGGAGCAGTACAACCAGATCATTAATCTTCTTTCATCTACTGCTTCGGTTGATTCCGCTGTGAATCTTGCAGGTATTGTCGATAATTGTTTACCTGCCTCTAGTAAGTCACTGACATGGGTCTTAGATACAGGTGCTACAGATCACATATTATATGATTTACAATGCTTGCAATCTCCTATCTTGTGTTCCTCCCGGTCAATTCAATTGCCTACTGGTAAAACTGTCCCAATTAAATATGTTTGTTATTGCTTCCTAAATTCTGCCATAAAATTGTCTAATGTGTTATATGTCCCAAATTTTACTCACAATCTACTCTCCATTTCAAAGCTCACTCGTGACCTGCATTGTTCTGTTGTTTTCTATCCTGACTTTTGTCTTCTGCAGGACCTCTCAAGTGGAAGGATGAAGGGGATTGGTAAAGAGTTTAGGGGGCTTTATTTTTTTCAATCATCAGCTTTAACTACTGGTTTGTCATCTACACATACTTCCTCAAATGTGCAGTCTTCTAATGTTTCCTCTAGTTTGTCTTGTGATTCAAAATTGGTTGACTGTAGTCTTGTGTCTGAATGTATGACTGCTGTTTCTGGTAATAATACAAGTCTTTGGCACTCTCGTTTGGGACATGCTGCTTTTTCAACCATGAATAAATTGCCTTTGTTACATTCTGTTAACTTGGATTCCAAATTACTACACTCTTGTCCCATATGTCCTTTAGGCAAACAAACTAGACTCCCATTCCCTGTTAGCTTCACTTCTTCACTAGCTCCTTTTAGTCTAATTCATATAGATTTATGGGGACCTTATCGAATTGCTACACATAGTGGTCATAGGTACTTTTTAACTATAGTTGATGACTTTACTCGTATGACTTGGGTGCACTTGTTGAGATTGAAAAGTGACACTATTATCTCTCTTAAAAAATTCATCACCTTTGTCAAAACTCAATTTTCAGCCGTTATTCAAATAATTCGTAGTGACAATGGCACTGAATTTTTTAATTCTCAGTGTTCTGAACTTTTTAGTTCACTTGGAATTCTTCACCAAAGCTCATGCGTTCAGACCCCCCAACAAAACGGGGTTGCTGAACGCAAACATAGACATATTCTCGAAGTTGCAAGGGCACTTCGTTTTCATTCAAAAGTTCCTATTAAGTTTTGGGGAGAATGTGTTACTACGGCTTGCTATATAATAAACCGGTTGCCTTCCTCTGTTTTGCGTTTTAAAACTCCTTTTGAAACCCTTCATCATAAAGTCCCTGACCTTTCTCATTTAAGGGTGTTTGGGTGTCTCTGTTATGCTACCAAGCTAAATTACTCTGACAAGTTTTCTTCTAAGGCCATGCCCTGTGTTTTCATGGGTTATTCTTCAACTCAAAAGGGGTACCTTCTGTTTAGTCTTCAATCAAAACAGTTTCTTGTGAGTAGAGACGTTGTGTTTCACGAAGTCATCTTTCCCTTCCATTTTCCTGTCTCAGAATCTTCTCCTTTTTTTCCTTCACATTCTCATATTCCTGATTCTGATTTTCTAGTCTTTGATTCTTCAATACCAACTAATATGTCTCTTGTTGATAATTCTTCTAGTTCTTCCCAAGAATTTCATACTATGTCTCCTATTTCCTCCATTTCTCCTTCTAATTTCTCAACAGGTGCATCTGGTAGTCCATCTAATTTTTCAACAAGTCATCCTCAAGCTAGTACATCTCCTTTAGCACAAGATTGTGTTATGTCTAGACGTTCCTCTCGTGTCTCCAAGCCTCCAAATTGGTTAAACGATTATGTCTGCTCTTGCCAATCTACTTCATCCTCTACTACTTATCCCATTTCTAAGTCCATTTCTTACTCTCATTTACCCTTACCTACTCAACATTTTTTAGCCTCTGTTTCTCGTTTTCATGAACCCACCACTTATCATGAAGCTTGTCAAAACCCGCAATGGCAGCAGGCCATGAGAGAAGAGATTCAAGCACTGGAATTAAATAATACTTGGACTGTGGTACCTTTGCCTTCTGGAAAAGTTCCCATTGTTAGAGTATTATTAGTTTGTTATGGGTTGTTATTAGCTGGTTATTAGTTTGTTATGTTGGTTACTTGAGCTATATAAGTCATACTTGTATTAGGTTGTATGCAGTGTATTTCTTCAATGTTCAATAAAGACTTCATTCTGTCATCTCTCTATCTTTAAGCTTCCTCCTTCATTTGTTATCTCAGTCCATATCTTTCATCACTCTCAGCCTTCATGGCAACATTCTCACATGGTATCACGTAGAACATCATCCCCTGCCAAACCTAACTCCTCAACGTAGAACCTCATCCCCTACCAAACCCATAGTTGTTTCTTTGAATTGAAGAAGAAAAGAACAGCCTTCGACGGTTCTCGAAACCAATTCAACATCATGGAATCATCACAATCTCGGAGGGTTTTCGTGAAGCTGATGAAGATTTTCGCCATGAAGCCCCATTACCCCATTTCAAGAGCATCTCCTTCGATGTATCTCTTGCAAACGCGCCTCTTCAGCGATAGTAGACGACCCATCAGAGAAAACGAACCCATCGGTTTTAATGGCAATGAGAACGATGATGAGGTTCCTTAACGTATCCCCAATAGGCCCTTAAGGGATCAAAGGCCTTTCAATATCTCTTCTCGAGAAAACAAAGGAACCAACTTTCAGCACTCCACGACCAGATTTGCTTCCGATTCTATAAAGAAGAGAGAAGATTCTCAATCTGATGTGAATTTCCTGGAAAGGTTCAAGCTTGGGCTTGATAACAAGAGAGAAAAACTGCCCTCAGATTCAGAAGCTATAAATAGGAAAGAGCATGAAGAAAAGGTTCCCCCACCACAGGATGCTGATGAGATTTTCAAGAAAATGAAAGAAAATGGTCTTATCCCGAATGCTGTAGCCATGCTTGATGGTCTATGTAAAGATGGGCTTATCCAAGAAGCAATGAAGCTTTTCGGATTAATGAGGGAAAAAGGTACAATTCCGGAAGTTGTTATATACACAGTTGTTGTTGATGGCTTCTGCAAAGCACACAAACTCGACGATGCAAAGAGAATTTTCAGGAAGATGCTATCCAAAGGTGTGGTTCCCAATGTCTTTAGTTATAGTGTTCTGATTCAAGGATTGTATAAATCTAATCACTTGGATGATGCTATTGAGTTTTGTTTGGAAATGCTTGATGCCGGCCATTCTCCAAATGTCATCACTTTTGTGGGCTTGGTTGAGCATTAAGTTTCTCAAATAGTTGTGGGTATGTTGCTGAGTATTCCAGTAAACATAATTTCGATATTGAATAGTCCACTGCCAAATAAATAAAGAAAGAGCAAATGGACATGGTCAGTTGTTCAAGGAGAGGTAAACACATCGATACTGATCAGAAAAAAATGGAAAAGAAAGGAAGAATGATTCCAGTACATTTTCAAACAACACATGTACAGTTAGCTGATCATATGTTCAAGGAAAGGAATATGCCAAGTAATTGATCAAGCCAATGCCAGCTTTCAAAAGCTGTGAAAAAAAGTTATAGAAGAAGAAGTAAAGAACTCAATACCAGCACATGTTCAATCTTATTGAAGAAGATCAAGAAGCTGAAAAAGTTGGGTGAATAAATGTTGTGTGGATGGGAAAGAAGCAGTGAGTTTGTTGTTCGGATACTGTCAAACGATTGGTACACTGATGCAATCACTAGTTGAAAACAATTTTTTTTTCTCAAGATGGTTCAGAAGGAAAGAAGAGCGGGGTAAATGTTAGAGTATTATTAGTTTGTTATTAGTTTGTTATTAGTTTGTTATGGGTTGTTATTAGCTGGTTATTAGTTTGTTATGTTGGTTACTTGAGCTATATAAGTCATACTTGTATTAGGTTGTATGCAGTGTATTTCTTCAATGTTCAATAAAACTTCATTCTGTCATCTCTCTATCTTTAAGCTTCCTCCTTCATTTGTTATCTCAGTTCATATCTTTCATCACTCTCAGCCTTCATGGCAACATTCTCACACCCATTGGCTGCAAGTGGGTTTATAAAATTAAGTATCATGCTTCGGGTGAGGTGGAAAGATTCAAGGCTCGGTTGGAGGCCAAAGGGTACAATCAAAAGGAAGGGGTTGACTATGTGGAAACCTTTTCTCCTGTTGCTAAACTCACCACTGTGCGGCTGATTTTGGCCCTCGCTTCCATCTTTGACTGGCCGTTGTGGCAAATGGATGTTCACAATGCTTTTTTGCAAGGCGATTTGGTTGAAGAAGTCTACATGCAGTTGCCAGAAGGCTTTCCAGCCAGGGGGAGCGTATGGTTTGTCGGCTGCAAAAGTCTCTATATGGACTCAAACAGGCTTCTAGAAAATGGAACAAGAAGCTGTCTGAAGCCCTTATATCAACAGGATTTCAACAAAGCAAACATGATTACTCGTTGTTCACAAGACGAGTAGCAGACAGGTTGGTTGTTGTGCTGGTTTATGTAGATGATTTGCTGGTTACTGGAAGCAGTACTGATATGATAGAAGAGCTCACGTGTATATTGAGTTCTAAGTTCAAAATGAAAGACTTGGGTGAATTGAGATACTTTCTTGGACTTGAAGTATTGAGGTCAGAGAAGGGGATCATATTAAACCAGCGTAAATATGCACTGGAATTAATAGAAGATAGTGGGACAGGGGGAGCAAAGCCTGCTTTAACGCCATTGGAACAAAATAATAACCTTTCTGTTTTTTCGGACACAACATGCTTGAAGCAAGATGAAGAAAGTATGTTAGACAAGACACAGTTTCAGAGACTCATTGGGAGGCTTATATACTTGACTCACACCAGGCCTGACATAGCTTATTCAATACAACATCTGAGTCAGTTCATGCATCAGCCTAGAAATGAGCATATGGAGGCAGCCTTGAGAGTTGTACGATATATTAAGAAGAATCCAGGACAGGGAATACTGCTGGACTCCTCAAGTGCGTGTGATCTGATTGCCTTTTGTGATTCTGATTGGGCAACTTGCCCAATATCAAGGAAGTCTGTAATAGGATATTGTGTAAAACTTGGGAATTCCTTGATTTCGTGGAAGTCAAAAAAGCAGAACACAATAGCTCGTTCTTCAGCTGAAGCTGAGTATAGAAGTATGGCTATGACTACAGCAGAATTAGTTTGGCTAAGTGGACTGCTAAGCGAGCTAGGAGTGAAACAGGACCAACCAGCCAAGTTGTTTTGTGACAGTAAGGCTGCACTGCAGATTGCTTCTAATCCGGTTTTCCATGAGAGAACAAAGTACATTGAGATTGATTGCCACTTTGTTAGAGAAAAAATTCAAGAAGGGTTCATCACTACTGAACATATTTTCTCAAGGGAGCATCCTGTAGACATCTTGACAAAAGCACTCGGAACACAACAACATGAGTATTTGACAGCCAAGTTGGGGGTTTCAAATGTTTTTTACCCACCAACTTGAGGGGGAGTATTAAGATAACAAATGATCAGTTAATTTGTTAGTAGGTGGTTAGTAGACTGTTAGAGAATTAGTTAGAAGTAGTTACTTTTCAGCTCTTGTATTGTAGCTTGTACATTGTATTATATATTGCAGGTCAGCTAAGCAATAAACGATACGAGGCATTATTTTAACAGTGTTGATTACATAGGGAAACAAAGAGTTGGAAGGCATACCTTTCTTGCTATCACTTGACCACCAGCTATGTGCGAAAAATAAATATTGTGAAAATGGGACAAGAAAAGTGGGGCACTTTTCTCAGCTAATTCCTCCAAATACGTGACATACGAAACTCCAGGATTGCTAGGTTCAGGAACCACAAAATCTCGTTGGCTAAACCATTCTAGATCTTTAGAAAGGCATGCTGATCTTCCCAATCCAGTTTTCCTGAAGTAGGAATCTGTAGCAAATATCAATGCTAGTAACTCAGAAAGCAAGAGCTTGTAAGTAAAAGGATTGCGCGACAAACATGCAAATCGGCAATAATCAATTATATTGGGTTAAGATCCACCAAAAAGAAAAGTCTTCATCTATGAACTGAAAACAAGGCATTTAGTAGTACATGAGTTCAAATTCAAACATATGCAACCCTTTTCCTTTATCAAGTAATAACCTCCTTCGCACAAACGAAATGCAAACATTGGCAATTGGTTCATGTAGGTCTAATAAATGGCAGACATTGGTGGCATAAATTAAAAAGAAAAGGCCCTTCTTTGTTAATGCAAAGGCTCAAATTTTATTATAAAAAAGCCACTCGAAATTACACACAAATTTGTTAGTAATTCTCTGCATCAAAATGTAGAAGAGGCTCCCAGATAACGTAAAAAGAAAAACAAACCCCAAAAGCACACCTCTGTGAAGAAAATGGCAAGGGAAAAAAGCTCACAAGCAACATCATCGGATTCATCAACGATGCGCTCAATAGTGCTGAAGACGAGTTTGCTATCAACCAAGTACTTAAGAAATCCTTCCATACTGGAACTCCAAGTCTCCGTTTCTCCATCCCCACAATTTTCATTGCCTTTCTCTGTTTCAGAATCATCTCCACGCCCTTCTTCTTCTTCGCCTTGGGTATTTTCAGTGTCAGCTTCGGTGTCAGAACCACTACTGGAAGTGACATTTTTCCCTTTAATATTACGGAGTCTCATGGCAACGAACCTCATCTCTTCAGTGATGCCCTCGCTCTCTCCAGGGTACTGTTTCCTATACCGTTTCCTCTTCTTCTTCACGGGGAGCCCTGCCATATTGTTATTACTATTGCTGGTGGAAGAATTAGAGCAGCGTAAGATCGTGGGTCGTTTGTTGAGGGTAAGGCAATGTGGTGGGATTGTTTTGGAACTGAAGAAGGGGAATGAAACTTGAGAATGAGTGAAAGCTGTTCGATGAAAGACAGTGGAATTCAAAGGTGAATAATCCATTGGAAGGTGTTCGCAAAAACAGAACAAATGCATTGTTTCCCAAACTTGGGAAGAGAGGAGGCATTTTTTTATGTCATTGGGCTGTCTTTTTTGTTGGGTAACCACTGCAACAACAGGCTCTTGAAAAACCCATTTTCCTTGAGCTCCAAACATGCAGAATTCAAGCAACATAGCCCAACAAACGGAACAGATGGTGTACACAAAAAGAAAAGTCCCCCCACCCCCGAATATTAATACTCATAATCTATTGTTTCGCTGACTGTTTATGAACCATTTGACTAATTCCCCACTTTCAAGAATAATTTAGTCACCAGACCCAAACCCAAAACGCACGCAATACAGAGACGGCGAACAGTTCAGTCTGCAGGAAGGGTGTCTTCAATTTGTTCTTTGGGTTTGGAAAGTGATAGATTCAATGAAAGGGTGAACTTTTGTTGATTTATTGTGCGATATGTTTGGGGAGGGAAAGCAGAAAGGAGCAGAAAGGAAAGAGAAAGAGAAAGGGCACATGGTGGGGTGAAGGACAAAAAACGGCGACGGAGATGGCCAGAGAGCGGCGAGCCAAATGTGGAGGTTTTGGTTTCGGTTTCGGTTTCAGTTCGGGACACTGCTCGTATTAAAAAACCACTTTGATTGTTTGCTCCATTAACATTCTTATCGCTCTCTACGTTCTTCTCTCTCTCTATTCTTATCTCTACATTTATCCAAATAAATTTAAGGGTATGTCTCTCCCTGTTTTGCCCACTTCTGTTTTTGATAAATTGTTTTGATCAGTGCTTTTAACTTGCTGGATTTGTTTTGTTTGTTTTATTGTAGTTGTAAAGTATACACCAGATCAGATTGCGAAAATGGAGGAATCAATTAAGATTCGAAGAGCCAATGAACCTATAGAGCTTGTTAAATTGGTATGCAAATTAGCCTTCATTTATATATGTGTGTGTTTTGGTTCCTCCCTATTTTTGTTGGTCGTTAATGTTTTTAATTGGGGGATGCTGCTGAATCTTGATGTCTTTCAATGAAGGTAAAGCAATTAAAGAATGGATTTTGGAGTGAAGAATCGGTGGCTGAACTGCCATAAGCAGTTAAACGTAAGATAACTGATGAGATCCTGCAGAGATTGAGAAGTTTAAGACCGAATGCCACCGTCAGCGAGCAGCACGGTTGGTATCTACCTCAATTTCCCTTTTGATACAGTTTAAAATTTACATGGTGTTTTTCTACTTATTCTCAGTAAGTAGTGTTTTATTATACATAGTTTGAGCATTTTTGATGTACAGGAATAGGATTCTTGAATGTAAGTTTAATTATTTAATTATTACAATCTTTGTATTAGCTGGCAACTGCAAAGCTTACAAGTTAATAAGTAATCTGTTAGTGAATAATTCATCTTAGCTGCATTCTTATTATGGAAACTTGTGTGGATATGTTATAATGTTATATTTAGGCTTGATTATTCTGTTTCTGGCCCAAAATGGGTATCTGATTATGGCTGCTGGAACTTAAGCTTCTTAGGGATCATATTTTATGATGACAAATAGAAATCTACGTTAATTCTAGGAGAAACCAGTTTGAAACTTTTTTTCCCGTGAATCCAGTCATCAATGTGAGCGTTTTCCTAAGCAGAGTATATCAAAAAGTTTCATAAAGATCAGGAAACTTCAATTCCATACTGCTTAATTTCCATCAGGTCTTACATACTATGTTTCTACTTTCTTTCTTAATCTTTCCAGGGGACTTGTCTTATTGATTATGCCATCCATTTAGTGTTTCTGATTTCTTGAATTGAGGGCCAACTCTAATAATTTGCAGAAGATTGTGGTAAATTGATTTGATTGAGTGAAGGTTTTGGTTCATTGGTTAAGACTTATTACTAACAATAAATTTGGCAAAAATAATTATTTGTTTTTGCTGGTGTCCACTTGTTAAATTCTTATCTTAAATTATCTTTCAGAAATTTGTAGCATTTGAATTTTTTTCCTAAGATGGTTATTTAATCACTTCCTGATTACTTCTTATTTCCTAGATGCCAAATACATTTTGTTCTTATTTGGAAGAACAGAACTGCAGTGCCATGTTTTACATTCTGAATAAGCCATGCATTTGTTTTTGTTGGTATAGCTTTTAAAATATATATAATCATTAAATAGAAGAGTCTTTATATGGTTACTTGTGATGCTTTTGGAAAGCCAATTGTACATATTTTTCTTTTTGGTTTTGGTATGGAAAGGAGCAAGGACTGAAATTTTTTACGTTCTTGTTTTGGTTTGACCTGTGCTTCATTACACAGGATCCTGCTAAAACATGTACACAATAGCTTAACGTATGAGGAAATAATCTTAGAGGCCACTGTACATATTATCTCGGGAATTGTAAATTTAATGGATTGAACTCATTCATGAACGTGTATATCAGTTGAAAATTGATAGTTGTTGACAACTTCCAAGACTATTGTGAGGCTAAACCCTTCTTTGATTTTTTATTTTTATGCATGCAATATTAGTTTCTAGAAAAGGAAATTAGGATTATTTGGTGCCTGCTGGATGATTAGCTCTAAATCTAGGGATCATTACTTTTATTCTTTGATAGAAATGGAAACTTGATATGCTCCAAGTGATGCTGTTTCCAAATTAGCAGCTAGCTGTTTTTATCTAAAACAGGATTGTGTATATTCTTATGGACTTTGAATCCCTTGTCAAACTTCCAATTCTTCGAGTAAACCCATTTCGCCAATTAGGCAAGAGTTGCATACAAGTTGCCGTGTGTTAGAAGAGCACTTTGAAAGTAGTCAGCAATAATGTAGGTCTCGTGTTAAAGGACTTCTAATCAGCTGTGGCTTTGTCTTGGTTGTTATTTCATTTTAATTTGCTAACTTTTCATTGAATCTCTTCTTGAGTTAACAGAATTGGTTGAAACCTGGCGCATGGAGAAACTAAAAGAAGTCAAAAAGCTGGCTCTTGGAGGAGAAGAGTTGAATTCAACTCTTTTGCAGCAGGAAGCAGGTAACTCGTGATCTGAGAGGTGGTATATTTTTGTACTTTAGTTTCTCATTGAGAATTTGAGATTAAAGGCCTAAGCATTTTTACATGTTCACCTAATGTTAAACTTACCAGTCTTGACTTAAAGGCCTAAGCATTTTTTACATGTTCACCTAATGTTAAACTTATCGGTTTTGACTTACTACTAATTTGCAGAAATTTTAGTAAAAGTCTTGGAGTCCAATTGGGCTTCACTCTCCGAAGACATTGGCCTTTGGATTCCCTGTGAAGTCATCAATCAAGAACATGATGATAAGCCCGAGGGTGCGGAAGATACAGGTAATTTTTAAGATAACGTAGCAGGTTTCAATTAATGTTTTCTCGTATAGTTTCTGGAATAGGGATTTGAACTTGAAACCTCTGCATAGGAGAGGTTCGAGTGTTTATCAAACTGTGCTGAGAAATATCATTGTAACTAAGGTGTAATCCCTTTATACAGAAGAAGAGTATCAAATTTTAGCCGGGAGACAATTTCCTTTAGAATGCCATGCCGAACTTCATACAGATTATGATGGTGTGGCTGTTCGATGGTGTCTTACCCACCACAAAGAAAGTGCGGCTAATTGCTGTCAGGCTTGTTTAGATCAAGCAAAACGTGCAAAGCCAGTTGAAACGAAATGCAACATATGGGTTTATTGTCCATCCGAGACCGGTTGTTATTCCCCAGATAAATATGAACACAAACACATGGAGTGCTGGCTGAAATATTTAAGTCTTGTATTCCCTCTAAGTTAGCATTTCATTATACTTTTGCACGTATCCAAAGTTGTCTGCAATGTAAGGCTGATAAATTTTTTTATTAAAAATCAAAATGCAGTCAGAGAAGCCCACACTAAACTTTTAAGGACACATATTCTGAAGCATATATAAGGTGTCTGCTGGTGTTAGTGCAGGGCCTAATTTTGATCAAAACAGCGGGTAGTTGGTTCAAATGTAGCCGATTCTCGTTCTACATATATCAAACTGTCTCTTTCACTCTTTGGTTGAGAGCATGGGGGAGAATTGGAAACAGGGGAAGCCAGTGATCCAACCCTACTTTTGACAACTAATTAACTTTTTCTCCTTTTACTTTTGACAACTATCAAATTGGGCTTCACTTGACACATGGGAAGTGTTGGACTTCTATGATGTGGCTCTAAGGGAGATGGCTAGCTTTTTGGGTGACTGTTGATATGGTTCATCATTTAATGCTGAAAGTAGAGGTAGATGCCTTCACTATCTGTCTTTCAAAATTTATAAAAAAAAAGAAGTTTCAGTTGTATCAGGAATATCAGTCAATGACTTTACTCATTCATTAAAAGGGAATAAGTTATTCAACAATTCTGCCAAGGGGAACCATCTGGTGCTAGTGGTCCCTCTCCCTCAACACGTGGATCCTTTAGAGGCTGATGAAGCCATCGCCGTTTTTGTCAGCCACCTTAAACGTACGTTGAGTTCTAAAACCGGGGAAACGTGATTGAAGACTTTGAAAACCGGCTTTCACTTCCTCTTTGCTAAGCTTTCCGTCTTTGTTGACATTGCAACGCTTGAACAATCTTAGAATCTCATCACGTTCCGCCAGCAAAGATTTGGTAAACCTCTATTATCTTTACCGTTTATGAAGCAAAAAATCATTTTCTCTTTACCCAAAAAACAAAAAAAGGGAGAAGAAGATGTGTGTGTATAAAGCTGTTCTGCTTCGGTTTTACATTGAACCAACATTTGTTTATATAGAGAAAAATGATTCTGCAACTTTTTGGATATTTTATTTGTTTTTTTTTAATTGTAAGCTTTTAGTAATAAAAAGATATATCAATAATTATTAGATGTTGTTGGATGAAATGGTAAGATGAAATTGTATTCTCAATATGCACCTTTTTGCAATTCTGAAGCTTGGGAAATTCCCCAGTATGCAAGTTTTCAATGTTTAGGAAGACGGAAGTGTATTCTTTACAATAAATTATTCAAAATATGCACAGAATCTTATGTTAATAAAATTATTTTATATTAATGGTAAATTTATAAAATTATTTTATGTCAATGATAAATTTATAAAATTTTGAAGAGTAAGTTTACAAAATTTTAGGAGCCAAAGGATTAGAAAATATAAAAAATTTATATTAAATGAAAACTTAAATTTACAGAGAAACAACTGTTAATTAACTCCCAATCTATCCATGTGTGTATGAAAGTATCTTGGAACTTAACATAGAGTGGTGCACTTGGAAAATTCAAAGTGATAGTACGGAATCTATCTGAAAAACAGAGAGATAAGTCTCTTTCACAGGAAAAAGAAGTAATCTTCTCAATAATTCCATGTCCATTTTTCTATCTTTATATTCTTCAAACAAAATGATTGCAGGTGGAACCGTGCCAATGCAAAACTAAGCATCCTTTTCATCTATTTATATATATTGTTGGCCAATATCTATTTCTAATTTTTTAATCAAAAAGTAAATTATGATTATTAGTTGTAAAAATCTCATTTTTTTCTATATAATAAATCTTAAAATGTTTAATTTTATTATGTGGAGGTGAACAAAATTCAATTTAACTTTAAGAAATAATCATACGATGGGTCGATCGAATCAATTAGTTATTTTAGTTATTTCATTCAAAAAAAGTTTAAATAAAAATTAAAATGTAAAATAAAATTTATCAATATAATTAATTTAATTTTTTTTGATTAGATTCGATTCAACTTAATTAAATATTCATTCTTAAATGTTTATACTTTTTAAAAGATTTAATTATGTCCATATGGAATAATGTATCCAACACTCACTCTTGATTATTTGAAATATTTCTTTTTCTTGAATGTAAACCATCTTCATGCATTACAGAAAATAACAGCAATTACAATAGCAGCAATGCATGGGAGAACCTCAGGCTCAAAAGATGAAGGTTGGGCGGTACTGGACACAAAATTTGCTAAAGCATGCGCTCCATTAGCTTCTCGACGAGTGTAACAAACAGAGACGTGGGAATGAGAATCAAGCAACCGTCGAGCTTCGGATAGGTGCAAACTCAGTACAGATCTGTCGGAGTGATGGTGCTCTAGCTGTTGTATCACATTAAGGGCACCGCTCTCTATCAAGACGCGAGGGAACTCCATCTCAACTCAGGTCTGTCCCAAATGATGTGTAGACATTGTGCTAATTTTTAGAATAAGACCCTTAAAATATTTTATAATAAGGATTAATTTGTCAAATTTAAAATTACGAGGGATTTATAAGGTTTTTTTTACCAAAATACATCATGGAAAATCTTTATTTGTAACTTTCTCTACTATTTTTCCTAGAACTACACGAAAAGTTTGTTTTTCCTTCGAACAAAATGTAGTTAAGACACAAAGGTTGTATAAATGAGCCTGAATGACATTTATGTGTGGACCCTAAATTTTGGGGTCTTATAACGTTTCAACTGCCATTATGATACCATGACAGATAGCCAGAGCTTCAACGACGCTGCCATTCGTTCCACCCGAACAAGGAAACGCCCGACTTGCAACGACGAGACCATCACAATCGCGAGAAGAGAACATTTAATTGTTTGTTATATAATCTTTTAAGAAGCCTTGTTCTTTGAAGAATAATGAGGTTAAAGCAGTGGTCCAAAGAATTTGGGAATTTACTTTAATTACAGTAACTAAACACAGTCATGTCAAACACGCATAATATTAGGAAGAACATAAATGAAAAAACATTGTCATCAAGTGAAGTGTTTAAGTGTCTACAACTTTAATGTTCTCTGGTTACCATGAATAGTTGAGATAACTCTCGTCTTTTCATTGCTTAATTCTCTTAAACAAAATAATCACACAAAGCAGACGAGCTTGGTAATGATATTGGGATTTAAAAGGATATTATTACATGCTTGCACACACACACATATATACATACACAAGCATATTACATCAAGCAGTGGGTTTCTCTCTCTCTCTCTCTTTCTATATATATATTATATATATATATATATATATATCTCTAGATCAATCTAAGTTTGATGTTGGTGTCGCCTGGGTAACACTCCAAGGCATAAGTAACAAGCTTGTCGAGCTCATCATCTATGTTGATGAACCCATCGTTGTTTTCGTCAGCCATCTGAAACGCACGATGGGTTCTATAGAGCGGGAAACGAGACTGAAGCTTTCGGAAACCAGCCTTCACCTCTTCCCAGCTCAGCTTTCCGTTGTTGTCGACATCGCAACGCTTGAACAGCTTCATTAATTCATCGTAATCATCTTTGGGAATATCTTTTCTATTTGTCTCTACTCTTTTTCTGAAGAAAAACACCATTCTTCTTATCTCTCTCGCGCGCACTGAAAGACAGATGAAAAGTTGCAACTTTGAAACGCTAAGTTTATTTGATTTAAGTTTAAAATGGCTTAAACATTGTTTATATCCTGCAGTTTTAGCCTTTTTAAATTTCTTTATTAATTAATGTGCCACTTGGGGATAACAATCTTCATGTTCACGTGCGATACTTTCAAGTAAAGTTGGTGTATTTCTATCGTATTAAAGTATTTTGGATGCATCTGCTTGAGTTTATCTGTGATGAAGGAATCAGCTTCGACGCATTATTGGAGGGAATAAATCCATTAAAACAGGGTAACCTCATCATATTAACGTAAGAGAATAACTTTCTTTTGCTGTCAGCAAATTACCTGTGTTTTTAGTTTATATATATATTCTCAAATTCTAAAATACTATTATGACCTGAATTGCATTAATTTATCAAACGGTAAATTATACCGATTATCATTAATGTTGGGATAAATTTCAAAACAATTTATCTGCTAAAATTTATAAAGTTATATTACCATTATTAATTTATAAAAAAAATTCATTTTATCACAGTTAGCGGCTTAACTCGATTGTGACGTTGGGACTACTGAAGCCATTGCCATCACAAAAGGATTACAGTTAGCAGCTGAACTCAATTACATGCAGGTCGTAGCGAAGAGTGATGCTTCCTACGTAGTGCGTCAACTAACCTCCTTGCAGCTTGATCTTTCCACAATTGACTTTCACTTTGCTCAATAGGCTGACCATAGGGGTTTCCAATTCCATGACATCCGTCGTTCAACTAATATGGCCGCCCACACTTTAGCTCAATACGCTTTATCTATTTCAGTTCCTATGTATTTTGCTTATGAATCTCCTCAGTGTAGAGAGGATGCACTTGTTGCTGATGCCATTAACGGCTAAGTTTATAATGTCATTAACTTTAAAAAAATCATTTTATCATCAAATCTCAATAACATGACACGTTAATAAAAAATTAATTTATATCCTAGACTATTAATACAAAATTAATCATATCATTTCTTTTCATATCTAATTGGATAAATAAGACATTCGGTGGGTTGATCAAGTTGTTATCTTTATTCTCTCGTATTTTCTCTTGCCCTCCCTTTTATGTAGGATTAAATTAAATTTAAAATTTATAAAAAATGGATAAATTCAGTTTAATTTTTACACTGAAAAGTCTTATCAATATTAAACTAGAATCCATCATTCATTTCAATATGTAAAAAACTGATTTTAAATTTTAAATTATATGTAGATTTTTTAATCCTCGATAATTTAAATTTTATATATATATTTATTTATTTATTTTATAATTCAAGGTCGATGGCGAATTAAGATATTTGATCCATAGCCACACAAGTAATATGGTGCTTGTTGATAAAACTTCATACTCAAAGTGCACCTATCGTACATATATAAACTACATTATCATCACCTACCTAAAAGCTTCATACATAACATTGCACAAAGTGGTTTTCTCTATACAAACATCTATAGATACAAAATGTCCTAGACTCTCTAAACCCCAATAACTTCGCAGATAACACTGCAGAAAGTGGTTTCTCTATACACACATCTATTTGATCAACCTAAGTGCTACGTTGCCTTGGTAACAGTCCAAGACATAATCAACAAGCTCGTCGAGTTCTGCCTCGCTGATGAAGCCATCGCCGTTTTTATCAGCCACCTTAAACGCACGTTGAGTTCTAAAAGCTGGAAAACGAGATTGAAGAGCTCTAAAACCGGCTTTCACTTCTTCCCAGCTCAGCTTTCTATTGTTGTCGACGTCGCAACGCTTGAATAAACTCAATATCTCATCACGTTCAGCTAGCAAAGATGTTGGTATACTTTTAATACCACCCGTGTTGCAGTAGAAAAAAACCATTCTCTCTTTACCCTAACACAAGGTAGAAGGAAATGTATAAAATAAGCTATTGTGCTTTGCTTTTGTTACTTTAAAAATGGAAGCAACGTTTGTTTATATAGAGAAATGATTTAGACCTTTACCTATCTGAAGAATAAAGGGTTAAAGCAACGGTCCAAAAGAACTGGGAATGTAGTTTAATAATAAATTACAGTGATTTTTACAATGCATTCACAGAGAATAACTTTGTTAATCGAGTTTCAGTTAAAAAATGCAAAAGTTAACCTGGAATCTGAATCTAACATTTTGGCCGGCAACTTTAAAATGACAACAAATTATATTTTAATACTCATTTAATTTTATTTATTTTAATAATACATACTTTTTAAATATCATTATATTATTAAATTTATTAATATATAATGTGCTACACGTGAGTTTAAAATTACAAAATACTAAATTTTATTACATTCATTTTATGAGTGAAAACTATAATATTTAATGGAGAGGTATTTATATTTTCAGGGTAAATGTCGAGGTTCGAATTCCTATAATATGAGCATCTATAACCATTTAACTGATTAATGGATAAATAAAAATTATAAATGGTAAAAAGTAGAGGGATAACAAAATAATATAAAAATATACTAATTTTCCTTTAAAATATGCTCAGCAAAAATTTGGGAGTTAAAAAGGATTAGGATCAATTCTGGATATAGCTTTCTTTAAAAATATTCTCACCCTAACCATATAATTAAAGTGAAATTGCATAATTGTAATTTGAATCTTTGATTTATTCTAATTTAGATTTTGTTTATCATTTTCAATGATCCAAAGCAAAGATTTGGGAGTTAAAAAGGATTAGGATCAATTCTGGATGAAGCTTTCTTTAAAAATATCCTCAATCCTAACCATATCATTAAAGTGAAATTGCATAATTACAATTTAAATATCGAATTTATTTCAAATTTAAGTTCTGTTTGGTAAATTGAAATATTAAATGATAAAAAATTAAATATTAATTAAATTATGGAATATGGTCGATATATTAATTACAAAATATAATATTAAATTATATAGATAAATTTTAAATTATAAAAAATTACTTTATATTTTTATCCTTATTTTCTTGTTAACATTTCATGATATTGTCTACTTACATATCTATTAGAGAGTCCACATTATTACAGTCGGAACCGTCTTTCGGTTAGGTCCCGGAATTGGTCTTCAACTTGAATTGATTGGGTTAGAGTCACCACCGATCATTTATTTTAAAAATAAAACGGGTTGATCGGATACCTTATTTCTTACATGATCTGCGTCTTACCAGTGATGTGTCGGGTTCGGGAGTCGGTTACAGTCAAGGAAAGGTTAGCACCCTTGAACTGCCCTTTCGGTACTACGTAATTTCCAGTTGTCTTCAATTAAGAAAATCGTAATTTAAATTAAAAGGTAAAAAAATGATGTTCCAAACTACTTACCTTTGATAGTTTGCGGAAATACCCTTAAAAAATCGTGAAAATAACATTAGGGGAAACGGTGAGAACAAAAAATGAAGAAAATAAGATAAAGAAGGAAAACGAAACGAATAATCAAGAGAAAGATTAAAGATAAAAAAATAAATGGCATAATTAAAATGAATACAACAAAAAATGAAAGAAAATAAAAACAGAGGCAAATATATAAAAAGTAAAATAATATAAAATAAAGAGGGAGGAAAAAAATAATAAATAAAATAAAAATGGATAAATAAATAAAATAAAAATGGAATAAATAATTAATGAATGAAACGAGAAATATATATATATTAAAGTATTAGAAAGGAAAAATATCAATAATAGGTCAAATGAATATATATATATATACATAAAATAAAATGTTAATAAAAATATAATTATAAGATAAAATAAATAAGGTTGGTAAATAATATAAAAAAAT